TGCAAGACTGCCAATAACCAACAGATAAGAAATAGTTTACAACACAAGAGTCTTCAAATACCAACTGTAATGTCCACGAGGCTGAGTTTCAAAATGTCTTTGCCTTCTGCAAAGAAGGTTTATTTCACAGCTAGCTTTTATATTCTTGAGGGAGGGGCCATTACCTTGCAGCCTTACTCCCAAATCGCCCGTGCTCTTTCCTATGAGCAATCCTGCACACACACACACTTGGCACAGGCTCCTTGAGATTCTCCTCATCATTGCTGCCAGCCCCCACAATCTCTGAAGGCAGCAGTCCATTTCCTAATGGTCCTGGGCCCTCAACTGAGTCCTCGCTCTCCACAGCCATCTGCACCTGCTTCTGACTAACCATAACAGTGTGACTCCACAAAAGCGAATACAATCCTTGGTAGTATAAACAGAAGCATAGAATCAAAATTGCATGAAGTATTAGTACCGCTTTATAAAACCTTACTAAGACCACAACCAGAATACTAGGTTACCTGGGTGCAGCCAACTCTGAGACACATCATTCATCTCACCCTTCGCCCTGGTCTTCTCCCACCCCCTGGATGTATATTCTCCAATGGGACACATCCATAGCCAACAGTCATCAGTCATGCTCTCCAGTAATAATCTTGCATGCCAGAAGCTTCGGCTGCCTAGCAATTATCTAAGGTATGCATTACTCCCCCCACTCCCTTTCTGCTAACAATTCTAAAAGACCAGAGAAATATTTTTGAGTTGATAGCATCCATTCTTGGTCACCACATTCCCAAACAATGTTGAGACTTTGGAAAAAGTGCAGAGAAGAGCAACTAGGAAGTTTAAAGGCCTGGAGACAAAAACATATTTAAAAAATGGTTGCTGGAACTGGGTAAGTCTAGTTTGGTGAAAAGAAGGACTAAGGGTGAAATGACGGCAGTGTTCCAATATTTCAGGGGCTGCCACAAAGAAAAGGGAGTCAAGCTATTCTTCAAAGCACCTGAAGGCAGGATAAGAAGCAACGGGTGGAAACTCCTCAAGGAGAGAAGCAACCTAGAACTAAGGAGAAATTTACTGACAAGTGAGAACAATTAATCAGTGGAACTACTTGCCTCCAGAAGTTGTAAATGCTCCAACACTGGATGTTTTTAAGAAGATTGGATAACATATGTCTGAAATGGTATAGGGTTAAATTAGTAACATGATTGTTAAGTGAATCTTGCTTCACCATTGACTTTGCTTGTCAGAAGGTCGCAAATGGGGATCATGTGAAATTGGGACACTGAAACTATTTTAAATATGAACCAGCTGTCAAGCATCCAAATGTAAATCACATGACCATGGGGATGCAGCAATGGTCATAAGTGTGAAAAACGATTGATAAGTCATTTTTTTCAGTGGTGTTACAACTTTGAATGGTCACTAAATGAACTAAATCTGTAAATATGAACAAAGAATTTTTTTTTCATATCTTTCCCCCAAATGCCTATGTAAGTCATATATGTCTTCAAAGCATTCACCAAAAGAAACATGTCTTACCTAGAAACACAGCTGTATTCCCTTTTCCCTTCTAACAGATGTGGTGGTGCAGTGGTTAGAATGCAGTATTGCAGACTAATTCTGCCAGCTGTCAGCAGTTCAATCCTCACTGGCTCAAGGTTGACTCAGCATTCCATCCTTCCGAGCTCATTAAAATGAATACTCAGATTGTTGGGGGCAATAGGCTGACTCTGTGAATTGTTTAAAAAGGGCTGTAAAGCAATGTTAAGTCTAATTGCTATTGCTATACCTGAAAATTATTTCAAGTGCATTCCAAGTTTTGGTCTTCCAAATTTGATGGGGCTCATCAGATGCGCCCATAGATTGACTCACAGTGCCTCGTCATCACTCGAATGGTCAATAGCCTTTTCCATAAGGCTATTTAGAACAACCAAGAACATGTAGACTATGTTATTAACTTTAGGAGCTCTGGTGGCACAGTGGTTGAAATGCAGCGTTGCAGGCTGACTCTGTCAACTACCAGGAGTTCAATCTTGACCAGCTGAAGGTTGACTCAGCCTTCCATCCTTTTGAGGTGGGTAAAATGAGGACCCAGATTGTTGGGGGCAATTTGCAGACTGTTAGAGGGCTGTAAAGCACTATGAAGTGGTACATAAGTCTAAATCAGAGGTGGTATTCAGCAGATTCTGACCAGTTCTGGAGAACCGGTAGCGGAAATTTTGAGTAGTTCAGAGAACCAGCAAATACCACCTCTGACTAACCCCACCCCCAGCTATTCTCAGCCTCCCGAGTCCCAGCTGATTGGCTGGGTCTTCTTTCGTTGCCCTGCACAGGAGAACGGAGCTGGAAAGCAGGTTAGTGGGGTGGGGAGGGAATGAGATTTTGCAGTATCCTTCCCCTACCACGCCCACCAAGCCACGCCCACAGAACCGGTAGTAAAAAAAAAACTGAATCCCACCACTGGTCTAAGTGCTATTGCTATTTCCTTTTAGTAGCAGCCAGGCAAGCTCATCATATTGACACAAAAATATTGACATAATCAAGATTTCTTATGATAAGCTATCAAAGGTTAAGCCCAGCGAAGATGTTCTCGGAATCTGCCTGTCCTTCTGACTCTTGTAACAGAAAAGGCTGCCTTTTGGTTTGATGACTCGACATTCAAGAATATTAACTTTTATCATGTCTTATTCATACTATTCAACATACCGCAGAGGTGATGAGTAAGCATCCTTAGTGTGGCATTATTGAGTCATCTTTTTTAAAAATGTTTTTTCCCCTCTTCGAGGGCTCACATTTATGATTTCTTTTCCTTGGCACACTCAGACACATTACAGAAACTCCCTAATGGAGATTGAAAAGAGGACGGTGAAGAATATAAAGGAAATAAAACTGATTTAAAAAGATGTGTCCATTCTGCTTAAGGGAAAGCATGTAGCTTTTTTATATCCAGAACAATTTGAAATATTTTTTTCTTATCCTATTGCACCTCTAGGACCCTTAATAGTTTTGGCAGCCAAGTGCCTTCTAATCTTGTTAATGGTCACTTTCTTTGCCCAATGTAGCACTAGGTTTATTAATAGGCCCTTCAGTCTGGAGGGGGAAAAAAAGGGAGTCTCTGGAGCGCAAGCCCTTCTGTTGTTTGTTGTCCTTTTAAGTCTGCTTGTGCTGCAGAAAAATCTGACCTGTGCAAAACATGCCATTAAGACACCATTAATAAAAGGTGAATAAGGTAGGCTGATGGCAAAAAAAATATTCCTTTGACTTATTCTTTTGTCATCCCTTTCTCTTCAAACACAGCATGGGGGAAGGCAGCAGCTAGCAGGGGAGAAACACCATCCGAGCCTGCTGCAGTTATGCAAATTTGATATGTACTTGTGATTCATGAGGTTTTTACCCTAACCCAGAAAGATACACCTCTCAAAAAAATAACAGACTTTAAAAAAATATTTTGGGAACTTTTTTCAGCAACTCCCATATTGCCAGAGTATAAGATACAATAAGAATAGTATTTCTCAACCCTCAAAACTTTATGTCTGGACTTCAACTTTTGGATTCCAGGAGTTGAAGTCCAGGTTTCTTAAAGAGAACAAATTTGGTCTAGTGGTTAAGGCACCAAGCTAGAAAGTGGGAAACCATGAGTTCGAGTCTTACATTAGACGTAAAAGCCAGTTGGGTGACTTTGTACCAATCACCAGGGAACAGTGAGTTCCAGTTCCACCTTTGGCATGAAAGTTGGCTGAGTGATTTTGGGCCAATCATTAGGAGATGGTGAGTTCTGGTCTCACCTTAGGCAGGAAGGCTGAGTGGGTGACTTTGGGCCAATCACTAGGAGATGGTGAATTCTAGTCTCATCTTAGGCAGGAAGGCTGGGTGGGGTGACTTTGGGCCAATCACTAGGAGATGGTGAGTTCTAGTCTTACCTTAGGCAGGAAGGTTGGCTGGGTGACTTTGGAATAGTCCTTTCTCAGCCCAACCCACTTTCACAGGGTTGTTTTGTGGTGAAAATAGGAGAGAGGTGTGTTGCTTATCTTTGCCTCCTTGAGTTATCTGTAAATAATAATAATAATAATAATAATAATAATAATAATAATAATAATAATAATAATAATAATAATAATAATAATAATTTTAAAAAACAGGCTACAAATATATAAATAAATGAATTACAAAGATTGAGAAAAAATTGTAGTAGAGCTTCTATTGACTGGGCCCTCCAAAGATTTGTTCTAGCTATTCTTCTTTCTCCAGGAATGATTCCTTCTTTATGTTGCCTGTCGCCAACTTTCTCAGTCACCCCATCCATCCTTCCTGGTTCCTCAAAAGCCTTCACTCATGGGTCAAAGCTTCCTAGCAATGAAAGATGCCACCCTTAATCACTGTAATGTAAGGTACCATATCTGCAGTGTATGGATGAGTGCTTGCCATTTTCCCCCTACTATCAGATCCCTAAAGTGATACTGCCATTCTGTCTGTCTGTCTGTCTGTCTGTCTGTCTGTCTATTTTGTCAAGCACGTTTTAGATAACGAATATAATTAGGAACATGATTATGAGTACATGAAATGGGTATGAATAAAAGGGGACATTAGGACAGGGATGGTAGGCACATTGGTCCTCTTATGCATGCCCCTTACAGACCTCTTAGGAATGGAGTGAGGTCAACAGTATACAGTCTAAGGCTTTAATTGGTTTTAATTGGGAGAAGTGGGGGGGGGACCTTGAATGTGATTCTTTCTTATTTCCTCTGACAACTGCTACTTTATAACCTTTATCCTGGCACCTGAGCGCCCTGAGATTTTCTCACCTTTTGGGGAATGTACTAAGGGGGGAGGGCCATGTGGCTTGTTTCACTCTGAAAGCCGACAGAAGATGACCCTGGGAATGCCTGCTTATCTGGTTCTCAGGACAGCTGTTGCAATAACATCTTCACACCTGTGGATTGGCTGAATCCACATTGAACTGGAGGGAGGGGTTTCTAATGCCTTATTTCTAACCGTATTGCCTGGGGGGATTTAGAGTCTGCTTTGCCTTTGTCCTGTTTTCACTTCTGCTCAATAAAAGGTTCCTTTTAAAATATTCAGTTTCAATAGTTTTTACTTTCTTGAGTTAGAAGGAGAGGCAGGTCCTTACACCTACAGTGATGAGTATAGAGAAAACTCAAGTTTCTTCTGGCAGGAAAGGGAACAGCAATCTGAACTTACCCAGTGCATCAGCATATAATGGGAAGCTTTATTAATTTTATTTGTCCAATTTGTACTCTGCTTTTTTTCCTTTCTTTTAGGAGCTCAAGGTACATGAAGATTCTGAGTTGCGCTGAGATGACAATCACCCGGTGTTTTAAGCAAGGAAAAAAAATAACACACGGTAGTTATGACAAGTATGATATATTATCAAAAATCTTGTAAGAGTTTTCTATGACTGGTGCTGTCTGGATGGCGAAATATGCAGAGAAATCTGATATGTCAGAAGCATTTTGCTTTTCTTTCACATATATTAGCCCCAGAATCATTCTGTCCTCCCTTCCCATGCCTTCTTTAGATTTTGTAGGTATTTAGAACATAGAATAATAGAGTTGACAGGGACTTCAGAGGTCTTCTAGTCCAACCACTTGCTTGAGACTCTCCAAACCATTTCAGAAAAATGTCTTTCCGGTCTCTTCTTGAAAGCCTCCTGTGATGGAGCAAACACAACTTCTGAAGGCAAGTTATTCCATTGGTTGATTGGTCTCACTCTTAGGAAATTTCTCCTTAGTTCTAGGTTGTTTAGTTTCCATTCATTGTTTCTTTATTTTACCTTTTGGTCCTTTGGAAAATAGTTTGACACACACACACACACCCTTATCTTTGTAGGAGCCTCTCAAATATTGGAACAGTACTATCATGTCACCCCTTAGTCCTTCTTTTCATTAGACTAGACCCGGTGGTGGGATTGAAATAATTTAACAATCAGTTCTCTGCCCTGATGATTTCTTCCAACAACCAGTTCACCAAACTGCTCAGAAAGTTAACAACCGGTTCTCCCGAAGTGGTGCAAACTGGCTGAATCCCACCACTGACTAGACCTACCCAATTCCTGCAACTGTTCATTATATGCTTTAGACCTCTAGTGATTTGTGTTGCTTTTCTCTGCACTCTTTCCAGAGTCTCAACATCTTTTTTTAGATTGTGGTGACCAGAACTAGATGCAGTATTCCAAGCATGGTTCTTTAACAGGGGAGTAGTTGTCCACAACAACCACAAGCAGATGCAAGCAGATGCAAGCAGACATATGCTTACATAAAAAGGAAGTTTGGAGGATTATTTTTTAAAATAGAACCTTGCTCCATGATCAGAGAAGTGGATTGGAGACCAACGAGTGAAATGGACTCTGAAGCCATTATTTTCTTTTCTTTTTTCTTTTTAAAAATTTTAAAAAACCTTTATTGAGATTAAAATATTAAAATAGAAATATGTCTATAAAGAAAATAAATGTATACAATTCACCATCATTCTTCGACAGTACAAAAATCTTGGCTATATTCATATGTTTTAAATATTCATACATTTCAACATTTTCTAATTAACCATGGACATATACAAAAAAATTTCTTATTTTTAACCTATATGTTTCATATTCTTACTTTCTATCCATTGGTATCAGTTATCCCAAGCTGAATAATATTCCGAGTCTTCCTTGTTATTTAATTCTATAGTGAGTTTATCCATTTCTGCACACTCAAAAATTTTACAATCTGTCGATATGGTAGACATATTCCAAGCTTGTGCTAGTGCAATTCTCGCTGCTGTGATAATATGTATAATCAAATATTTAATCTTTGAGGAGTATTTTCCCTTAATAATCCCCAGGAGAACAATTCAGGTTTCAATTCTATTTGACAGTGGAGGCCATTATATTCTTATTCTTACATTGTACTGGTAATCCTCAACATATGACATAATTGAGCCCAAAATTTATGTTATTAAGAGAGAAAATTGTTAAGTGAATTTTGCCCCATTGTACGACTTTTCTTGCCACATTTGTTCAGTGAATCACTGCAGTGTTTAAGTTAGCATCATGTTTTTTTGTTTTTTTATGATTTTTTAAAAAAATTTATACATCTTTTCAAGTGAGCACTGTGATTCCAGGTTACAACTGTCATGCCCTTGGTAAAGTCGGACTCTGAGGGAGAGGATGAACAGCCAACAGGGAGTGGAGGTGTGGCTCCCGAGGTTGTGGAGGAGGCTGGGGAAGGGCAGAGGCCGGCTGGGCAGTCAGAGGAAGAACCAGGCCCATCCCCTCTTCATCCTAGGACATGCAGTGAGGAACGGAAAAGGCACAACTTGGCTTATGAGAGAGGAAGCAGACATGATCCCCCTCATTGGTTGCAGGTGGGAGACTAGCATATAAGAGAGACGGTTAAAACACAGCATTGCCAGAAGCAAAGCATGTGTTATTTTGGGCTGAAGTTATCTTGGTTGGCGTCCTTCCAACAGACTGTGCCTTGTTATCTCCTTGAATTTGGTAACTACTTATCCTGGTCCATTGTGGAAATTTTGCCATTGTAGTTTGTTTGGTTTTTTATTGCACCTCTATCTGCTCATTAAGTTTGGACTATATTGCTTTCTTTTGAAGACTATTTTTGAGTACGTTTTATATCCAACTGAAAATTATTGAACAGTGGGGCCAAGTTGGAGGCGTTAAAGGACATTTATTTACATTTTGGATTTTGTTACATTTGTGTTACACTCCGGGTCATCACAACAACATACATATGTAGTCATAGTTACATTTCCAGCTTTCTTATCTAGTTTCATATCAAATCATTATCTATTCCATTAATCTTTAAATAAATCTTCACTTCATATTTTCAATTCATTAATCCAGTAACAAAAACATTTCACCCTTAAACATATTTTCCATTCTTTATCCCCTGTTATTTTCATTTCCAGCTTACCACCTATTTTAATGAATTTTACTCAAATTAAGGGCACACTCTGCAACATGGTTGTTTAAGTGAATCTGGCTTTCCCATTGACTTTGCTCATCAGAAGGTCACAAAAGGAATCACGTGATTCCAGGATGCTGCAACCATCATAAATGTGAGTCAGTTGTCAAGCATCTGAATTTTGATCATGTGATCATGGGGATGCTACGAGTGGTGTGGTGGCCTAGAGGTGGAGGTCTTGCCTCACAATCAGGAGGCTGTGAGTTCTATCCTAGGCAGAGGAAGATATTTCTCTCTGTGACACAATAAGAATATATCTGCTGCGAACTCTGCATTGGTGACAGGAAAGGTATCCGGCCAATAAACACTCAGTTGCATTCAGATGCCCCAACTCCATCCCGATGCAATGGATTATGGGATCATTAAATGACAAAAAATATATACCCAAATACCAGCCCAAAATGTTGGAAATGCCAACAAGTTGACGGTACCTTCTACCACATGTGGTGGCTATGCCCCAAGGCCAAGATCTATTGGACCAAAATTAAGGATTGGATACAAGGAATCACAGGATACCAAACTGAACTCAAACCAGAACCCTATTCATTGGGAATAATTAAGGACCAATACCCCAAAAAGATAAAATACATAATCTTATATATTCTAACAGCAGCCATAAAGCTTATGCGCAAATGTGGAAAGGGCCTAATGTTCTAACAGAAGTATTAGTTTTACAAAAAAACAACAGACTGTGCAGAAATGGATATGCTTACTGTCATGCTCCTGCTGGAGACTGACTCTGAGGGAGAGGAGGAACAGCCAACAGGGAGTGAAAGTGTGGCTCCGGAGATGGTGGAGAAGGCTGGGGAAGGGCAGAGGCCGGCTGAACAGTCAGAGGAGGACCTAGGCCCATCCCCTATCCATCCTAGGGCACACAGGGAGGAGAGGATAAGGTCTACTCGGGAAGAGAGGGCCTTGATCCTCTTCATGGGCTGCAGCTGTGACAACTGAATAAGAGGATGGACTTGTGTACGGCCAAACACTGGAAACAAAGTGTGGAAATATCTCTAGTTGATGGTGCCTCTCTGAATCTGGCGTCCTTCCCAGTGTGTGTTATCTGTGGACGTCCTCCAGCCCTTTAACTTGTCTGGTTTGTGTTGCTTTTTCCCTCCTTCTTGTAACTGTGTGGGAGATTTTTGTCTTCCGTCGAGAATATTTGGAGCTTGGAAGTAATGTGAAGGAATAAAAGGGGCATCACTAAATGAACTGTTATAAGTCGAGGACTGCCTGTAGAGATGCAATAGGAAACACGAGGAAAAAAAGAAACGTTTCCCCTAACTGAACTATATCTGCAGATCTGTAGGAGAGAGAAACAAGGCAGGAATGGAAAATGGCTTCTTCGCTATTTCTGCTCCCTCTCTGATATGCACCATATGTTCCCTGGTTTTTCAGGAGGTGAAAAGGAACAAGCTAGCTGAACAAGTGACAAGATGCTTCATTGTTTTCCTTTCTTTCCCTTCCATTTCCAGCTCAGATCTCACAGCTGCTTCAGAGGTGACAAACAATTAATTTAGTGCCCAGCTGTTAAATATTTACTATCTTTTTGATATACCGCTCAACAATTACTTTGGCAGATATAATTATGGCTAAAAGAGGAAAAGGGAGCCAAAGTAGATCACTGCAGTTATAGTCTTTTATTTTTCATCTTCTAGCTAAAGAGGCTGGTTTATTCAAGAAAGATTATGAACTCTTGCACACAAAACACAACCCACAATGCACACATACAAATTTCCCTGACATAATTCAGCTGGATTCACCTGTATTTAATGACACTTGGGAACCAGCCTATTCAACTGCATTTCATGAACTACCAAATTTTTGATGATATTTAGAGGGTAATAAATGCTAACATGCGTTTGTTGAGTGAACAAGGCATATAGGTCTCTAGATATGTATACTGTACATTTTCCAGTTTTCAATAAAAGGACAAATTTTGACTGCTTCTGTTATGACACATGGTTGCTTGGTCTTAGCCTGGTCTATGGGGGAGGGAGAAAATGTGATTTATACCACTGTTTTTTAGTTTTTGAAATTATCCCAGTCCCAAATTTTTCTGACATTGAATGAAGCAACCTGGAAGGAAGGGACTTCCTAACATTGAGGACAATTAACCAGTGGAACAGCTTTGCCTTCTGAAGTTGTGGGTGCTTCATCATTGGAATTGGACAATCACTTGTCTGAAATGGTATAGGATAGGATCTCTTGCTCAAGTAAGGGGCTGGACTAGAAGACCTCCAAGGTCCCTTCCAGCGCTATGTCATGCCCCTGTTGGAGATTGACTCTGAGGGAGAGGAGGAACAGCCAAAGGGGAGTGGAAGTGTGGCTCCGAAGGTTGTGGAGGAGGCTGGGGAAGGCAGAGGCTGGCTGGGCAGTCAGAGGAAGAACCAGGCACATCTCCTCTTCATCCTAGGGCACACAGGGGGGAACAGAGAAGGAAACAACTTGGCTTACGAGAGAGGAAGCGGCCATGATCCCCCTCATTGGTTGAAGCTGCGGAGAATAGTATATAAGAGAGACGGTTAAAACACAGTGTTGCTAGAAGCAACACTGTTTTATTTTGGGCTGAAGTTATCTTGGTTGGAATCCTTCCAATGGACTGGAAGTTTGTAATTAATTACCCTGGTCTGTCATGGAAATTCCTTCAGTGACATTTGTTTTGGTTTTTTATTTCTTCGTTACATGTTCCTTGAGTTTGGACTGAATTTCTTTCTTTTGGAGACTATTTTGGAAAGAGTTTAATCTCCAACTGCGAACAATTGAACAGTGGGGCCAAGTTGGAGGCAATAAAGGAAATTTATTTACATTTGGGAATTTATTACGTGTGTGCTGCTTCCCGGGTCATCACATTCTATTCTGATTCTATATATTTATCCTCTTTTTTTTAACTTGTCATTTTCTCTTTAGTTAGGGATGATGCAGATAGATCCTGACTTATAACCATTCATTTAGTGACCATTTGGGGAGTGGTGCAGTGGTCGAGAGGTTGAGCTCTTGCCTCACAATCAGGAGGTTGTGAGTTCGATCCTAGGTAGAGGCAGATATTTCACTCTCCAGGCACCCTGGGAATATATCTGCTGAAAAAAAACCTCTGCATTGGTGACAGAAAAGGCATCCGGCCATTAAAACACTCTGCTAACTCCATTCAGTTGCCTAGACATCACCCCGCAGGCTGCTGGCAAATCACAACATCCACTTGGTTATTAGTAAAAATATGCCTTCCACTAAAAATGGAGTCAGGGGTCTTTTTTTAACTGAACGAGCAGGTCAGGACAGGTCTGACATCCTTTGTTCAATTATTCTAGTCCACCATTTCTTTGATATTAGTGTAACTCTTATCCTTCAGTGAGTTGCCTTGTGTCAAGTTGGCTGTGATAAGTTATCCCACAGTAAGTTGACCATAGCAAGTTGGCCATGGTGAAGTTGGCCATACCAAGGTGTCCTACACCCCTCTGGAATGCTACCTCACATAATATTAGAATAACCCAATCAGCCAAGATCCATAATAAAGGTAACCTTAAACACAAAGTGAGATATCAATAAACATTGATGGAGTAAGCAAGATTGTAAAACATTTTCTCCTTTTTTTTTCTGGCTGTGGTTGATCAAAACCCTCCACCAAAACGTATTAGCATTAACAAATGAATAAAAGCACACTGTGAAAGCCATGAGTGTCATGGGGTGCTGAAAATTTGTTTTTCCTGTAATTTAATGGTCTTATTTACTAAATACTTGCATATTTGGCTGGTCTCTGCATGCTTCAAAACACAACCATTTGTAAATTAGAATATTATGAAGTAATGCTCTTTCATTCTCTCCCCCCCCCCCCCCCGTATTTCCTTGCTTAAAATAAATTGTTACCTTAATGACTCATCCAACTTGTCCCAGGAGACAAACGCAACAAAAGAAATGTCTCAGGTTAAAAGCTGTTTTGTGAGAAAACCCTTTATTACACTTCCAAGTAACAAATGATGCATATTTTATATTTTTCCACTTCATAGATTGAAGTGACTACAGGACTGTAACCCTACTGCAGTCAAACCCCCACATTAAAAGGATGGAGATGTGAAATTTGAGGAACATTGAAGTAGAAAATCAACAGTTTAGGCATCATTAGCATTTAAAGAAGAAAATCCACTCTAGCTGGCATTTGGTTTTCCAAATAATTTGGACATTCCAAGTAATGCTCATTTTCTTTAAAAAAAAATATTTCTAATGAAAAGAAGGACTAAGGGGAACATGATAGCAATGTTCCAATATTCGAAGGGCTCCTACAAAGATGAAGGGGTCAAACTATATTCCAATGTATCAAAAGGCAAGACAAGAAACAATGAAAGGAGAGAAGCAACCTTGAACTAAGGAGAAATGTTCTAATGGTGAGAGCAATCAACCAATGGAACAGCTTACTTTTAGAAGTTGTGGGTGCTTCATCACAACAGACTTTCAAAAAGAGACTGGACACCCATTTGTCTGAAATTGTATAGGTCTCCTGCTGAAGAAGGGGATTAGACTAGAAGATCCCTGAGGTTCCTTCCAACTCTATTATTCTATATTCTATTTTTTACATGTAGTTATTACACTTGGTCATTAGTGTGCTCTTTGTCCTCCTCCTCCTCCTCCTTCTCCTCCTCCTCCTCCTCCTCCTCCTCCTCCTCCCCCTCCTCCTCCTCCTCCTCCTCCTCCTCCTCCTTCCCCCCAGGAAAAAAAATAATGCTGACACAAATACATATTTAAAATAATACAGAAAAATAACAATGAAATATAGGCAGTTCTATCTACATTGGATAACTCACCGATCTAAAGTATTAAATGGTAAATATATTCTAACATACCATTAAGAACTTAGAAGACTATGAAGCATTTCATACCCAGTTTCTAGTGAATCCAATCACATTCTAACTAAGTCTCCAAATTGAAAGGGTGCATAGCTCTAATTCAACCAACCTTTGTTGAAATGATAGTACGCACATTCCAAAACATATTCAAATCAGAGCAAAGAACTTAACTTGCCATGCTTTATAAGTTCCCTGGATCCTTTTCCATCATCAAATAAAGGACAGAATACCTTCAGTTAGCAATAGCAATAGCACTTAGACTTATATACACCGCTTTATAGTGCTTTGCAGCCCTGTCTAAGTGGTTTACAGAGTCAGCATATTGCCCCCAGCAATTCGGGTCCTCATTTTACCCACCTCGGAAGGATGGAAGGCTGAGTCAACCTTGAGCCTGGTGAGATTCGAACTGCCAAATTGCAGGCAGCCAGCAGTCAGCAGAATAGCCTGCAGTACTGCAGAGTTCCTGTGTAAAGTCATACGTATCCCAATACATATGAAGAAACAACAAGACAACCAACTTCTAAAGTAAATCTTTCTTTGGGCCTCTTGGGCCACTCCTGAATTAAAGTCTCGTAGAGGTTGTAGTGGAATAATGGAAAGTAATTGCACCTGTGTATGATGCAATTGAAATGAAATTTGAAATATTTGGAAGGTGTCTCTTCAGAAAAAGAAACATGAGCTCCAGAGGTTATGAAGATCTTTGGTGTCACAGTGGTTAGAATGCAGTATTGCAGGCTATCTCTGCTGACTGTCAGCAGTTCGATTCTGACTGACTCAAGGTTGACCCATCCTTCCATCCTTCCAAGGCTGGTAAAATGAAGACCCAGGTTGTGAGTGGGAGGGTGTCAATGCACTGATTTTATAAACTGCTTAGCTATTGCTAAAGTGCTCTCCATCCTTACTCATATTGGAAGAAAGTTAAGTGATATTTATCTTTTTGCTCTGTTTCATATGTTTCTAGTCACTGCTAGTCCATCAATGCGTCTCCAAGATAAAGACAAAGACCCATTTTACACAACTTCAGGATGCCCTGGAACAGGGGAGGAAATGTAACTTTCATTATTTAAAACCACGCAACTAAGGTCTCACTCAGGGACATCAATCTAATGTTTGATGGCACAGTAAGAAAGAAAAAGTAAAGATGTTGACCATGAGACTTATGAATCCTAGATGTTATTTGAAAATATCCTTTCTTCTATACAAAGTTTTTGCTTGGAAACTACCCTGTTTCTCCAAAAATATGACCTACCCTGAAAGTAAGTCCTAGCTTGATTTTTACATGTGTGCCCAATATAAGCCCTACCCCCCAAAATAAGCCCTAATTAAGATTCCACCCACTCCAGAGTAGATCAGTAAAAATTAAGCTAGGCTGGGGAATAGGGGGGTGGAGCTGCTCTACTACTTACCTTTGGACAGTTGTAGCCAGGCCTTGCACACCCAGACACCTGCCTTGCTGGCCCATTTCTTCTGCAGCCAGCAAAGCTGGCAAGGCTTCCCTGAAGGCCTCTGTTGCTGATAAACAAAGCTCGGGATCGATCCAGATCTCTGTTATCAACTGCAGAGGCCTTCAGGAAAGCCTTGTCAGTTACAGAAGAAGTTCCTGAAGGCTTCTGACAGCAAAAAGGAGGCCAGGGGTGACACACACAAGTAAGGTTAGTCAATAGATGACATCCCCTGAAAATAAGACCTGGTGCCTTTTTTGGTGGCAAAATATATATAAGACAGTGTCTTATTTTGGGGGAAACATGGTATTTGCAAATCTTATAAAATGCAAACAGCATCCAAAATTTGATGTGTTTCTCCATTGAGAAGGCAAGTCTTAACATGAAGACTGAAACTCGGGAAATGCAACTCGACTTGGCATATCATGCATTCTAAAATAAAGATATTTCTAGTCACTGTAGCAGGAGTTAGGCAGACATTTATGTGGGACAACATATAGATCTCAGTTACCATTTTCTCATTTTATGTTTTCATCACAAGCTGTTAAATATAGCTGCATGTATCCTAAACCAGTAGAAATATTAAAGTGAAGTGTAACAGCCTTGAAATGAATCAATGGCCATTTGCTCTGGGCTTTTTTTGTCTGCAACCAAGTAAAAGGATTATTCCTGTTCATCTAAACAAGGTTTCTGCTGATTATTAAACTTACTTCTCCCTTGCTACTTCCTGAGACTTAATCCCAATTTAAATAACAGCTAAAAAAAAGCTAAAGCAAAATTCCCAGGTGGAAAAGGGAATATTTTTGGTCCTGCTTGAGACTAGACATGTGGAAAGTTCAGCTGCATTTCAATTTTGCTATTTTTTTTTCTCACTGGCTTTGGTAATTCTGCATAATTAAATTTAATCCTGACCACTGCTGATTCAGCAACTTCAAAGTAGAAAGAGTGACATTGAGAGAACCCTACTCATTCCCTGCTAATTTCCCCCCCTCTCCCATTTCCCTATTTTACACAGAATAAAAAAAATGTATGAATAATAATCTTTCTTTCAAAAGAATGATGACCTTTCCTTTATTGAAATAGAATCTTTATTTCAATGTCTGAAATGAGAAAGTGATTATGAGTTGGCTTGATAGGCAAGCTGTATTTTAGAAATAGATAAACTTAAAGGTCAGATGCATCATGCACGAAGGAGGACAGTGCCTTTTGGCAATATTGAAACTTTTTTGTAAAAATTGGGGATTACACATGGTGGGAATAGAAAAATTTAAAATAAACCTTATGTTAGCATTCCAATGAAACTCCCCATTTCATTCAGCACTCAGAAACTAAGTTCATCCAAGTAAGAATTTATTGAATAAGTCATATTGGCACATCTGGGAAAACCCGGATCTGAGAGTTTTGGGTTTTCCCTTCCCAATTGAAAAATCAAAATCCATCCCCTGCACCCACCAGTCCATCACATGATCCAATCACCCATCGTCCCAACTGAAGACCTTCCTCCAGCCACTCCTTCCCAGGTGTGGGGTAACTTGTCCTTGACTCTCTGAGAAAGAATGTTGTTGTGTCTAATCTTCTACTGCTCTATGAAATCCCCCCTCCCAAATTCCCAGGCACTAAAATGTGGCAGCCTGGAAACTTCTAAGTAAAACATGGCTTCCAAGGCTGACACCTTAATCTTTTCAGACCTTTTATTGTTAAGTGTGATGAACAAAAATGTACAAAAATGTAGAGATAGGTTATCCTTTATTTACAACTATTGGTTTAGTGACTCTTCAAAGTTATTTGAACGACACTGAAAGAAGTGACTTATGCCCGCTTTTCACACTTATGAACATTGCAGCATTCTGTGGTCACATGATCAAACTTTGGACCTTGCCAACTGGCATGTATTTATGATGGTTGGTATGTTCTAGGGTCATAGGACCTTTTTAAAGAGTCATTTGACAACTCCATTATTAATTTAAAAACTGCAGACTCATGTAACAGTTGTGGCAAGAAAACTTTACAATGGGCTAAAACCCACTAAAGAAATGTCTTGCTTAGCAGTTAAAGAAACGATGATTGCTTGGGGGGGGGGGGAATTTTCTATATGGGTAGATTTGGAAAAATGGCAGAAATTATGTACTCAAAACTATAAATTAACAATGTCGACAGCATATAAAGAGAATTTGTATAAGATGTTTTACAGGTGGTATCTACCCCTAGCAAGAATAGCAAGGATGTTCAAGGATAAATCAGTGAAATGTTGGAAATGTCATCAGATACCTGGATTATATTACCATACGTGGTGGATGTGTATGGAAGTCAAAAGATACTGGACTAAAATTCATGGCTGGAAAAAAAAATGACAAAACAGCATATAGACTTGAAATCAGAGATATTTTTATTGGGTATCTTACCTGAAGGATACAATAGAGAATTGACATATTTGATTATTCATGTTTTAACTGCAGCTAGAATTGTATTTGCCCAAAATTGGAAAAATGAGAAAATCCTGATAGAGGAGGAGGTGATTAAGAAAATAATGGAATGTGCAGAGACGAGTAGATTAACACTGGCAATTAGAGAGCAAGAAGAAAAATAATATTATAAAATATGGGATTTATTTTATCAATGGCTAGATAGAAAAATGAGAAAATGAAATATATTATAATATAAATATAATACAATAGTAAATATAATACAACAGTAATTATATGTTATAATTGATTATTATGAAATGAATTAAATATGAATTAGAATTAGTAAAAACTGAGATTTGCTCTAAAAGGATAATGTGAACTTGCAATCAAAGTCTAATGATGATGTAATAATAACATAACAGGACATGGAAAGTTGATTAATATAATTTGAATATAAATTTAAGAGGGAAAGACCACAGATATTATGCACAGGAAATATGTACCAACCAACGCCCTGTACAATTGAAAGAAGGTTTTATTTGTTGTTTTATGTTTATGCTTGTTTATGTTTGTTGTCAAAAAAAAAAAAACTTTTTTACAAAAAAAAAAGAAATGTCTTGCTTAGCAATGGAAATTTTGGGCTCAGTTGTGGTCGTAAGTATCCATTTCAAATATTTCAAATGACTGTAAATGAGAGAAACATTGACAATTGCATCCTTTTGCTATTAATTGCTCCCTTGATTTGCTTTTCAGTTTCAGATAATCAGAGTTGGAAGGGACCTTGTAGGTCATCTAGTCCAACCCCCCACCCAAGCGGGAGACCCAACACCATTTCTGACAAATGGCAGTCCAATCTCTTCTTGAAAGTCTCAAGTGATGGTGCTCCCACAACTTTCGAGGGCGAGCTGTTCCATTGGTTGATTGTTCTCACTGTCATAAAGTTTCTCCTTATTTCCAGGTTGAATCTCTCCTTGTTCAGTTTCTATCCATTATTCCTTGTCTGGCCTACAGGCGCTTTAGTAAATAGCTTGACCCCTTCCTTCCTGTGGCAGCCCCTCAAATATTGGAAGACCACTATCATGTCTCCCCTGGTCCTTCTCTTCCCTAGACCAGCCATGCCCAGCTCCTGCAACCATTCGTTGTATGTTTTAGCCTCCAGTCCCCTAATCATCCTGATTGCTCTTCTCTGTACTTTTTCTAGAGTCTCAACATCTTTTTTATAATGTGGTGAACAAAACTGGATGCAGTACTCTAGGTGTGGTCTTACTAAGGCTTTATAGAGTGGCATTAGTACTTCCCTTGATTGTATCCCTCTGTTAATACAATGTAGGATTACATTAGCTTTTTTGGCTTCTGCTGCACACTGCTGGCTCCTATTTAGCTGGTTGTCCACTAAGACTCCAAGATCCCTCTCACAATTACTGCTATTGAGCCTGGTTTCACCCAGTCTATATGTGTACTTTTGGTTTTTCTTGCCTAAGTGTAGGACTTTACTTTTCTCTACATTTCTCTACGTTTCCCTGGATAACTCTCCATTTCTCTTGGTACCCCAACCTTAGTAAGAACACACTTAGAATATTGCATCCAAGTCTGGTCACCACAAAGCAAACAAACAAACAAACAAAAGATGTTGAGATTCTGGAAAGAGTGCAAAGAGGAGCAACAAAGATTATTAGGGGGCTGGAGGTTAAAATGTATAAAGAATGGTTACTGGAATTGGTTATATCTAGGTTAATGAAAAGAAGAACTGGGGGGTCATGATAGCAGTATTCTAATATTTGAGAGGCTCAACCTATTCTCCAGTACCTGAAGTCAGGGCAAGAAGCAATGGATGGAAACAAATCAAGGAGAAAAGAAACCTAGAATTTAGGAGAAATTTCCTGGTGGTGAGAGCAATTAACCAGTGGGATAGGTTGCCCTCAGAAGTTGTGGGTGCTACTGAATCACAATCAGAATAGAGCTGGAAGGGACCTTGGAGGTCTTCTAGTCCAGCTCCCTACTCAAGTAGGAGACCCTATACCATTTCAGACAAGTGGCTGTCCAAGCTCTTCTTAAAAATCTCCAGTAATGGAGCACCCACAACTTCTGAAGGCAAGCTGTTCCATTGGTTAATTGCCCTCACTGTTAGGATGTTTCTTGTTAGGTTTCTACAACACTGGAGGCTTGTGGGTATTCCATCACTGGAGGCTTTGAAGAAAAGACTGAACAACTATTTGTGTGAGATGGTATAGGGTCTCCTGCTTGAACAGAGGGTTGGAGTAGAAGACCTCCAAGGTCCCTTCCAATTCTATTGTTCTATGTTCTGTGTTTGATCTTCATCTGCCATTTTTCTTCTACAATATGCTTCTTAAGCTGAGATCCAATTAGTTTTTTTCAGGCTAAACCTGACTTTATGTCTATTCCATATTCTCAATGCAGCAAAGAAATAGAATGGTTTTGAAAGTCTATGTTAATTTTAACTTTATCATAATATTAAGACTAAGGGTTCAACTTCTCCACATACTCCATATAAGCCTAATCACAGGATGTCCAATCTTAGATTACTTACCACCCTGTTTAAAAATAGTAAAGATTTCCTCAAGTCAAACTCAATTCCTTTTGATTAAATGGATCCATTCATGTGGTGTTCTTGGAAACAATACCATTTTTTTTTCTGTGGCCTTTGGAGATGATTGCTATTGATTTAGTAAAAATCTTTGTGATTTTTTTTTACATCAGTCAAGGTCAGATGGGTTGGTCCATCCAGTTTTGCTCCTACTGCAAAATGTGTTGTGCAGTTAAAAAAAGTTGCAGGCAATAATACTTTATTTAGGTACGTATTTTACTTTGTAAAACCCATACCCTACTTTTTCTCCAAGATCACTGGAGGTTGTGGGAGTCAGTTTTCCCCACAACCATCAGTGGGATGGGATGAGCCAAGAGAAAATGGACACAAATGTGGCACAGCAATTTTTCAGAAAGAAAGAACAAAACCAAGAAAACAGAAAGAACAAAACCAAGGCTTAGTCAACAGAGACAAGTAAGTATTTACAATCAAAGGTCATAAATCAAAAGGAAGTGAAGAGAAACTGAAATCCCCAAACCATTAAACCAAGTTTTCTAAATCGGCAAATAATAAAAGAAGAGAATAATCTTATTCTCCAGCCTGTTAAGACTATTGGGTAAAATGCAAGAATGGCTAAGACAGGAATACATGTATAATTCTCTCGATGTTCCTCCTTCCTCCCCAATAGGCATGAATATGAAACATTTAGGCCGTTATATGACATATTCTATCTAATAACATGGGTGGCAGAGCATTAAATCTTATGGAGGAAAAATTAACTAAATAATTGCTTGGAGTGAAAGGTCATCAAAAGAGAACACCACCTGGTTATCCTCAGACCTTTGTGTTGTCTCTGCTCGGGTTTTGCTTTCTCAAAGCAAATCAAATATTGGTCTAGAATGCGGTTGGAGGGGACAGGAAGTTATTTGAAAGGAAGCTAGGAATCATTGGAGCTGAAAAACACAAAGCCAGAATGCGGGACAATATGAAAAGATCCAAGGAAAGAAAAATGCTAGGTGGCACACATTTAATTTTGAAGATGACCAGAGGCAGTCTCTTTTTTTGTTCCTACATGTCTTAATCACTCTGGCATTAAGAAGAGATTGTCATGCTAATTTAGCAAAACACTGTGGAAGAATTTTATAGAGTGTCTTGAGATGGCAATGTCTCAAAACCGAATCAATTTTTTCATTGCCGTAACTCCCTCAAAGTATCCTGGAAGCTACATTTAATAAAGTACTGGGAATTCCCCAAGGCAAAGGGAATAGTTTTGCAGAATTCTTTGGAGAGGCCAAGTAACAATGAAATCAATTTGTTTTGGGGGTTCTTCTGTGCTGGTAAGCAAAGCCATTTGCTTTTGAAGCATTTTCTTTCTTTTTTCTTTTCTTTTCTTTTCTTTTCTTTTCTTTCTTTCTTTCTTTCTTTCTTTCTTTCTTTCTTTCTTTCTTT